CATTCTACCTCCCCCATCCTTCTGGCTGTTGTGTGTCCCTGCTGTCCCAGCATTGGCCTCAGCTTGATCTCGCACTGGCTTCCTGGACACTGCTGGTAATAAGAAAGCAGGCCTTCCAGCCGACTGGCCAACTCCAATGCCTTGCCTCCCTCCCTTACTGCCCAGATACCTGGTAGACAGTGCTCTCCACTCGGAACTGTGGCCATCCCATCCACATCTCTTAACATGTTATTCCAGAACTACTCATTCTGCACAATAATGAGAAAGGAAATATCTTGCCCTCTCGCCTTCATTAAAGTCAATATATAAATACTGCCTTTCCAAGGGTTCTGTCCCCACAGTTACCAGAGATCTGTTGTAGAGGAAATAACTGAGTATCAATCCTAAGACGTTTTGGAAATCAGCTTTTAAGTTCAATCATGGGAGCCCTGAGGCAAAACGACATCCACCTGGCACGTTGCCAACAGTACCACGCCTGCCTCACTCATGTGGAACTGAGGCCATGTGTGTCTCAGCGAAGCCACACCCCCATCCTCCCTACTGTGCTCAGGAAGCCTAGGTTGTGAGCAGGCCGGGTGGCTCTGGAACACCCACTACATGGGTGTGGGGTTGTGCTCCTGTCTCATGCTTGACAGCCTTGGAATGTGCAGTTTGTGTTCATGTGCTTGATGGTTTTTTACAATAAGATTCTAAATTTAGACTGTTTAGTCACGGAGATATTGTGGAGCCAGAATAGTGTATTCTGGGCATTGTCACCAATTTGTACCACAACCACTTATACCACCACTGCTCATGGGCAGTTAAGGGCCCTTCCATCAGATTTAACCAATAGTGGTATATGCCTGGAATCCCAGCACTTGGGGGATTAGAGGCAGGTGGATCAGGAGTTCAAGGCTAGCCTCAGCTGCGAAGCCAATTTTAGATCAGCCTGAGCTATGTGAGAAAATTAAGATTTAACAAATGGTTTTGTCAACCGAGTTTCTGCTCATGTCACCTGTCTGAAGGTTTCCTCCAAGCAGGACATGATGTTTAGTGACTGCCTTTCCTTGGCAGCTCAAGACTTACTTTGGGGGAACTGTGTGGTACAGTGTTGCTAACTCGGACTTGGCTCCTATTTTTCTCACCACCAACCCAGTGCTTTTCTGAGGTGCACTATGAGTTTGCCGAAAAAAAGTCATGACAGAATTTATATTCCATTAGGCAAGAATCTGTGACTGAGCAGGGTGGTGGTGGGAACACATGCCTTTAATTCTGGTATTGGGAAGCAAGAGGCAGGTGGATCTCTGGGTTCAGGCTAGCCTGGTCTATAGAGGAAGTAAGTTCCAAGACAGCTAGGGATACACAGAGAAACCCGGTCTCAGAAAAAAAAAATTGACTTATCTTGGAGGATGGTGGCCCTGACCGCCTGGTCAGGGTGTTTGTGTCTCTGCCGTGTGATGTTCACCTGGGCCCATCCCTCAGAAAGGAGGAGTTGCTACAAGGGGGTTTGTGGCGGGGGACACTGCCTGCAGGGGTGTGGGAGCAGTTCCCAGGTGGTCCCACACGAGTCTGCTGCACAGCGATGTCGTAGCTGTCTTGAACATGCTCAGTGATGTTCACAGGGAGACAAAGTGATATGTGATGTGCGACTGGGTTTGAGGGCCATCGACCCCTGGCTGTGAGCTGCCCTGAGGACAGTAGGTGTTCATGCGAGGGACTAGCGCCCCCACATTTGTCTCTTTCCCATTTACTTTGCTGTCCTTTATGGGCATCAGCATGGATTCCCGGAGATGGACTCACGTTGGAATCTAAAGCAATGTTAATTATGTGGCTCTGCTTGTGAAGGCTCTCAAGGTAAGCCCCGCCCACCTGAGGTGTCAGTCACTTTGGGCACTTCTGAATGTGGCTTCCACCATGCCCTTTCCTGCCCAGTTCTTCAGGGAGTCCCATCAATAGGAATGGACACAGGGGCTACAGTGGGCGCTGGATGTTAATGCTGTTGAGGGTTCAGAGCTGGGTTTCTCTTACCCTCACCTCCACTGCTTTCTCCCTCCCTCCCTCCCCTCTCTGCCTGTGCCACTTTTGCTCCCCCCCTTCAGTTCAAGACCTGCCCATTGTTCTGCATCCCTTTAGAATGCTTTCATGGCTAATGGGCTGTGCTGGACGCTGGCCTCCCACTGCCCTCGTGGGGCTTTCTGAGGCGGGCACAAATCTGAGGCTGCTGTGTTTTTCTGTGGGAGATGTGCCCGGCTGGGGCTATTAAAACCGAGCAGAGGCCATGGGCAGCACAGCCAGGCCTCCCCTCGATACAGGAGCCCTTGGCTGCCAGGTGTTGTGCTCTGGGGGCTGGAGATTTGCATGCAGACGAGGGAGGCATCCTCAGAAGCTGAGCAGCTCCGGAGGTTCTGCGGTCTAGTGTAGCAGCTATTCCATTTGTTTCTGTTTGTTTCTTCACATATTTTTGAGTCGAGAAGGATGTTGTATCCCAGAGGGAACCTGGGGTCATTTCAGGTCATTAAGGGCATCATCCCGGCCTCATCACCATGGGATCTGTGCTGGGCAGGACACAGGGTTCTGTTCTGCTGTGTGAGATGTGTGTTGATCGGGGAGCCCTCTAAATGCTTTCTCCAATCTTCTGCTTCTAATGTTCATGTTTCCCTAAACTGCCCTCACTGAACAGCTTATGAGCCTGTAATTAAAGCAACTTTTCACACTGCTGAAATGAGATGGTGCAAGCTGTCCTTCAGGGGACCTTTGCAGTCTAAGATGACGGAAACCTCAGTGGATACGGGGGAGGGGGGGAGCTGGAGACACAGGCCCACTGACCCAACCTAGGGCCTGGGCAAGTGTGTAATCATCAGCCCTCATATGATGGGGTGCAGTGAGCCCTGGGTGTCTGTACTTAGCCTCCTTGCACTTTCTTGGGGAATAGCACCTCATTTTCTCTCAGACTGAATGTCCTCACTGGACACAGGGTGGTGCTTGCTGTACCTGAATCCCAAACAATTGGAAAGGGCAGGTATCACTTGCTGCCAGGGTCTGGCAGGGCCACCAATATGTATACTCTCTTGGGGACTGGGAGATGGTTTTACCCTGGGCAGAGCCAGCTGCTTACAGCCATGAAAGCCTAGATCAGATCCTCAAAGATAAGATCAGAAAGGAGGTGTCTGGGTAGGGGACAGCTTTGTCCTCAAAAGGGCTTTGCCTAGCTTGAGGTCTGTTTACAAAGGAGGGCACTTGGGGTCCTGCTCAAGTAAGTACAACAAACACAACCCACACGTTCCCAAGTGCTCTCTTGAACCTAGGCATTACCCTAGGGTTCCTGGATGTCTCAAAACAGATATTGTGAAGCTCCTCATTCTGTCATGAGCTGACAGAACCACACACAGAGTTCCAAAAGAAGAGCAGGAGTTATTAGCACCCACCGGTGCCCTCACACGACAGACAGGCACATCCATATCAGAGATGAGATTGGCGTTGCTCCCGCCGTGGACTCCCATCTGACTCCTTCCCCACTGACACAGCGGTGTAAGGGGAATGCCCGTGAGCACCCAGGAACTGGCACTGAGCAGTGGCCCTGCCACCAACACAGAATGCAGAGCACAGCTCAGTAGTACACAGCTAGTGAGCAGTTCATGTACGAGCGACACAAATGCTTCCCGTTTTTAAGAACATATAAATTATTTCACTTTTTGTACATGTGTTTGATCTGCATATATGTACCATGTGTGTGCCTGGTACCTGTGGAGGCCAGAGACCTAAGACTGGAATTACAGACCACTGGGAGCTGCCATACGGGTGCTGGGAATCAAACCCGAGACCTTTGGAAGAACGACCAGAGTTCTTAACCACTGAACTCTCTAACTGCTCCCCACGCTTTTTTTTTGGACACAGGTTCTCACTGTGTAGCCCTGGCTGGTCTGGAATTATACAGACCAGGCTGGCCACTTCATTTTATTGATCACTAAAAAATAAGAAATTAGAAGGTGGCACACATCTGGCAACTTGGAATGTGGAGGCAGGAGGATCAGGGAGTTCAAAGTCATCTTTGACTACACAGTGAGTTTGAGGCAAAAACATACAGTAAGTAAATATTAAAAAAAATTCTACAAACATGTAAAATCCTTTAAAAAGTTAAAAAAGTTCAAGGCCAGCTTGTCTACACAGCAAGACCCTGTCAACTCCCAACAAATCAACAAACAAAACACACAGGCCCCTTACATCCACCTGACGCAGGAGTCTAGAATCACGAGGGTGGCGGTGTCTGTCACACGCGGCCAGCACTTTCACTCTCCTGAGTTAGCCAGTGCTCAGTGGTCCTGGTAGACAGGCGTGGTGTGTGATGTTTCCTGAGGTCTGGGCTGTGGACAGGGAGGAGCAGCCCGGTGGGAACCAGGTATGCTCAGTGTCCCGAGTCCTCTGAGGACGACTTTAGCACAGCAGTTTATAAAGTCACCATTCGTAGCTGAGGCGACTGGGGACGGGACAGGGGTCCGACACTGACAGAACCTCACAGGCTGGTGAGGACGACAAGGCACACCCAACAGAGTGGGGAGGAGGAGCCCAGCAGGTGCCTCGAAGGCAGGTGGGGGTTCTGTCTGCTCAGGAGTGCTTGCTGGGCCATCTGGGGGGCCATGTCTCACTGACACCCATTTTTCTAGGGCCACCAACTCTATCATCTGCCCTGCCCACACCAGCTTCTGGGGACTGAGTGTCCTGAAGGAAGCATCAGGACTTGAGTGGGGACCACTGCAAGGAGGGAAGGAGCCCATTTCTGGTCATGCACAAGGCAGAACCTGCAAGGGAAGTCCAGCTAGCACAGAATAGTCTGAGCACACTCGAGTGTCAGGAAGACCCTGTGACTGGCTGGTCTGGCAGAGTCCCACAGAGGACACAGGTGGACCATCTCGGAGCATCCCCTCCACAGCCAGAGAGAAGCCACCACTGGAGGGAAGTCCCGTTTTCCCCACAGGCTGACACACATTAAGTGGCAGAAAACCAAAAGCAGGAGCCGCCCCGGCTGCTAGCTAGAAAAGGTGTTCCTCCCATTTTATTTGATAATACATTTTCACAGAAACATGATATATTTACAAATATACAGGTAAGAGACTGCTGGTCAAAAATTTGAAACTGAAAATATCACCAAAAATTTACAAAAGCCACCGACTGAGCCAGGGAGTCGGGCTGGAGAACCTGGAGGGTCGTGTGGAGGTCGGCATGGAGCTTGCAGCTCAGCTTCTGGCTGGGTTGTGGCTGCTCTGAGCTGAAGCCCAGCACCTGTGACCACAGCCAGGGCCATAGCTGCGCACGATGCTCCGCTTGGGGCTGGCTCCATGGCTGCCATCTCAGGATGCACTGGTCTGCAGGTTTTTTGAAGCTGCGAGCATTGCTCTTACTTTGGCCATGAGATCCTGTGTAGGGAAACATGGAGGGCATTTCAGTCTCCTGCTAATCAGACTTGTAAGGAGGTTGTGGTGAGGACAGGCGGCAGAGTTTCCTGCAGCCTAGCTGTGAACCCGTACCAGCTGCACAAACCTCCCATAGCTCTGACCCCACATGGCCTGGGGGTACAAGTAGAGCCCAGGATGTGTCGGTCACCTGTGGAAGACGAGGATCCATAAGAAGTGATTTCTCCCCGTTCCCTGCCTCATGGGCTCTTACTTAGTGCTTGACTGTGGCAGGGCCCAAACCATTGAGTCAGTAGGTGACCAGCCCAAGATTTAGACCTGGGTCAGTACTGGAGCAAGGTGTGAGCAGGGAAATTATCAGAAAACAAAAATGGGGCCCCCATTATAAAATCTGAAAGGAGAGGGGCACTCCCATCTTACCTGAGTTATTTTGCTCTGCACAGAGGAAACGATTGCTGAGGAGATCTGGCCATCTTTTTCCTGAGAAACCCCCCTAATGCAGAGGAAAGAGCGGAGGCTCAGATACACTCAAGAATCTGAAGGCTGGTTCCCACGCCCCATACTCTCAAACTTAACTTGGAAGTAGCAACAAGCTTAGAAACACACCATGTGTGCATGAGGGGCAGGGGCTGTGCTGGGTGCCTTCCTCTACTGCTTGCGACTCTTTTGTGAGATAGGGTTTCTCACTGGCTGTTGTTCATGGGTTGATGCTGGATCCTCTCACCCCCACCTCAGCCTGCTGGACCTGCAGGTGCATGCTGCTGTGCCCTGCTCTTCACATGGATTCAGGGACCAACTTCAGGTCCCCATGCTTGTGCTAATAAGTACTTTATCCACCGAACCATCTTCCCATGCCAGGAACATGCATTTTTCTACCCACTTCATAAAGAACCTAGCTTACATCTTAACACCACTACACCAATGCTTGTGAAGAGCAGACTAATGAAGGCGGCACCTGTCAGGTAGGCAGGTAGGATCAGAACCACAGCCCAAGTGCTTCTGTGGATGTGGACATCACCCTTGTCCTTGTGGTCGGGGTTTCCTACACTCACTTCGGGATGGCCCCCGTCAGATGCAGAGCCCCTTGGTGAGCTGTGTTCCTCACAGAGTGGCCATGAACCTGTCTCAACTGAGTATGCCCTGTTCACGCTTACGGAAGCTCCTACCAAGAACACACACTTTAACCTCACACAGCCAGTCCTAGACTCAAGATTCCCTAGACTTCTAGGCCTGATTGTTTGGTAGATGCAATTCCAGCGTGGATAGCCACCTGAGACCATTGTCACAGAGACCCACTAAGTCTTGTATGGTACCTCAGGTGCTCTGTTACTCACGGAAGGAATCTGAATGTCTGATAAGGCAAGGATTCGGAGGTGCACCCACACGCTCCTGTCTGAGGTCACCCACTTCAGGTCACTTGGTATCCCCTATTCCCAGAGAAACAATGGGGGTGGGGGCGGCTCCACTGAGGCACTCACGGCCAGTGCTGGCCAGGTCTCACTTGCCTCCCCTTGCTTTTTCCCACGGATTGCCGCCCGGGGGTCATGGTTACCTGGAGCGTTCCTGGGAAGAACCTCGGCTCTCCACAGGAGAGATGCTGGCCGAGTGGGCTGAGTGCGCTGAGGGACGCTGTGCTGTCTGTTTGCTCGGGGATGTTGACTGGGAGCGGGCTTTGGCCTTAGTGCGCGACCGTGATCTCCGCTTCTTTTTCTTCTCATGGGGACTTCTGAAAGGGAAGTGCTCTTGTCAGGGAATGCAGCATGACGAGAGGGCGGTCTGAACTTGTTTATTTCAAGGGCCCCTCCTGTGGTTTTTTTTTTTTAAATTGTTCTTTTATATTATAGGCTGGCTTTGAACTCGTTCTGTAGCTGAGGATGACCTTAAACTTCCCATCTCCTTCCTCTACCTCCCAAGTTCTGGAATTAGAGGATGTACCACCAGGACTGGGGTGTGTAACACCCGCAAATTGAATGCAGGGTGTCACGCATGCCAGCAAGCACTTTACCAGCTGAGTACATTTCCAGCCTCACGTGCATGCCTTAGACAGCTGTAATCCTTCAGTCAGTTGAACCTGTATATCCACAGGGTACTGAGCTTTAAAAGAACCATCCAGAATCCAGCTTTTCCATAGGGGAAGCTTAGACCTGGGGAAATGTCTGACATTTAATGTACAATGAACAATCTATTTGCATTGAAAATACCAAGATAACTACCAAGGGCAGCCTGTAGGAAAGTCTATACTGCTTTCTCATTCATGCCAAAAGATAGGGAATTATCAGCCAAATCCTGTATATACCCCTTCATGGATGATAACTCAGGAGGAGGCAGCCTGGCCTGCTCTGCTCTGCGTGTCTGCTGCACCCAATGTCAGCTCAGCTCTGACCTGTGCCCTGCTCCCACCACAGGACAGGCTGCCAAGCAGCTCTCACTCCTTCTGAAGGCTCTGCCATTGCCTCACGGTTTCTACCATGTACAGATGTAGGCACACACACAACACACACAGGAAGACTGTGAGGACATATACTTGGTAAATGCAGTGTCTCCTCTCAGATCCATTCCCTACACACAGGACAAGGCCACTGCCAGCCTGCACTCCACCTCCCACTAAGCCTGTCTTGAGATGCTTTGGAGCTCTATCACTGACTCCTAGGGTCTTTCCTCCCTCCTGGGCTGCAGGACACTGCCAGGCAGCTCACTGCTTGGCTGTATCTTTCCAAGTGTGCCCACTTTAATGGGAACACTGGTAAGTCACTGTCGCCCTTTTCTCTTTTGCAGTCACCAGGGACCCAGGTCTAGGCATTTGGTTTTCACAGAGACACAAAAGCCTTTCCCAATCTGGTCTAGCCCTCTGTCCTCCAGGAAGGACGACTCTGTAGATAGTTCTTTCCTTCTTCCACGTTTTCATGAGTCTTGGGGCTCAAACCCAGGACGTAAGGCTTGCACAATAAAGCACCTTTACTTGCTGAGCCATCTCACCGGCCCTGTTTAATCTGAACAGTTTGACCTCACATAAGAAGTCAAGCTTTTGCTGGAAAAAAGCAGTCTGCTTGCTTCTGAAGTTGCTGAGGTGCACTTTGCAACCAGGTCCTCCGTGCTGTTGCTGAGTGACCAAAGCAACACTGTGGCCTGCTGTTCTGGAACATTCCCTCAGTGTACTTTTCGGCCTATGCCATCGTCCACACTCAGCTTTATAGGAACCGACACTCACATCACTGTGTGGGTCTCAGCAGCACTCCCAAGTCCCCTGTAAACCTGGGCATGTCCCTACATGTTCTTATACTAACAGTAGCACTTTCCAGACACAGTTAGTAACCTCACACCTCCTTGCTTCTATGGCCAAATGTCCCCATTGCACTCTGGGGAGAAAAGTGGTGGTGAAGTCTGGCAGGTGCACCTGTAACCTTGTAAGAAACGAAGCTGTTTCTAGATGGCAGCCTCAGCTGTGAGGACTGGCTGGTGAGCACCCTCGCCTGGCCACACTAAGTGAGGCCAGTGAGCAAGAAGGAGAAACTTGCTGGGGCTCCCTTACTCTGGACTGCTGATGCTCAGCATCCTTCTTGAGTGTACCCTGCTAATGTGTTTCTCTGTGGAGTCGCTGGCCTCTGGTGTTGACACGGACTATACAGAGACGGGCACCATGGGTGTCTTTTTCACTGGGAGAACAACTGTTCGGTCTCTTAACTGCCCCTGGAGGTAGCTTCTGACTTCAGTGATACTGACTTTATTATGCTTTCCTCCCACTGGTAGGGTCTTCTGTGGGTGTGTATGTACGCATATGTGGGAAGACAACCTAAGGGGCCTGCCTGTTTCCCCGGTACTGGTATTACAAGCACGTACCACATGCCTGGCTTTTTGTGTGGCTCCAGTGGATGGAACTCAGGTCCTACTGTTTGTGTAGCAGGTACTTTTCTAACAGAGCTGTCTCCCTAACCCAGCAGGGATTTTTGTATTTGGATAGCTGATCTAAACAGAAGCAACGTCTGCAGTTTTTTCTTTCTCATCTCAGTGTCCATGGGTGGAGCAGGTTCTGCTAGAGGACTCTCCTGCTGAACGCTTCAGTGCTGTGGTCTAGCGAGGTCACGCCACAGTGTGGGCTTTAAGAATGTTGCAGTCCGCTCAGTGTTTACCATAAAGCTGGACTGTGGCTTCTACCAGGATCTAGGTATCTCCAGGCCAAAGTCCTGCACCTTAGCGCTTTGACAATCATTGTTTCAGTTTGCCTGCCAGTTCTCCAAAAGTCCTAGGATGCACGTTGGGGTTGGACTGGATCTACAGATCATAGAGGAGAGGAGGTATGGGCAGCAGTTTGCTAGAGAGTTGAGGAAAGGCTCCATGTTTCTCAGAGCACTGGTCTGTGAGCACAAATATGCAGAATTCTTGCTAGCCTAGGGATTAGTCATCTGGTCTTGGGGTGACTGGGGAGTGGCCACTTCTCTCTGCTGAGAAGGCCCCTGAGTGGTTACCTCATCATTCCTGTATGCTGGATTCACAGAGAAAACTGGTTTGGAGCTGGGAACCAGGTCCTAAGACTGTAAATTCCAATTTCTAAATTGGATTTTCCCAAACAGATCAAATGATGTCCCTTTCTCCTGTGTTGGTCTGGGACTCTGTCCATCTCTCAGAGAGACAGAATTTCCTTATTATCCATTATAGGTCTGCAGGCCTTTCCTGCCTGATTAATTTAACCACAGAATGGCCAATTCTTTGACCATTTTCCACAACCATCCTTTAGTTCTGCTTCTTTCTTACGCTGCTGTTTTTTGTTTTACAAATGTCTCATTTCACTTTTATAATTTCCTTGCTTCTGCACTGTCTCCTCAGACAGTGAAGATGTGAAACTGGGATGTTTCTACACCGCTGCTCTCCTGTAGTCTAATGCTAACATTACAGAGACTCATTTGCTAGCTGGTGCCCTGCAAAGAAGAAACTTTCCTATCACTTCCATACTTCCACACCACTCCCTTCCAAGTAGGACTCCTCTCGGCAAGGGTACGGGGAAGTGTGCTGCAAACACACCTGTGGCTCTCCATACTGTTACACGTCTCTGGCACACTGTCAGTGTTGGGCACCCATTTTAAAAGCAGGTGCACCCTTGGGACACTGGCCATGGCTGTGTCTCTTCTGTCTGCCTGTCTGCTGCAACTGTATTCAGCTGTTTCTGTTCTGAGTACTAAGCACTAAGGTTCCATTTTGCACATCACATCCTGATGCTAAAACGCCTGCCTCAGAGAGTCAGCTGTTGCCTTCACTGTTATGAGAATGGGAAAGTGGATCTTCCTTGCCTTTTAAAATCTTATCTGTTAGTATATTTATTTTTAAAGCTTTTTTATAAAAGAAAGACAAGTCCCACAAGATCCAGGCGAGTTTCAAACTGGTCACGTAGAAGAGATGGCCCCTCTGATCCTGCCAACCCCATTGCCACTAGGCATGCCCAGTTCATGTCCAAAAGCTGGGGACTGAACCCAGTCTTGAGTCCTCTACCAACTGGACTGCAGCCCTGGCCCTAAAGTGTTTAAATAGAGTGGGGGTACAGCTCCACTGTAGAGTGCTTTGTTTAGCCATGTGGGAGGACTTGGGTTCACCTCTAGCACTGCTCAAACACCCACGTCCTAAAAGCCCACTTTATAAACACGTCTAAGATCTGTCTGACGTGCTTGCATCCAGAAAGATTTGTCACAGAGCATTTTTAACTAGCCACCTTCTCATGGCCTCATTTGTCTTCTTTCCCTTCCTGAGCTTCTGCTTTTTTTTAATGAAGCATTTTAAATGTTTTATATCTCAGCTTTTATTCATTTACTTAAAAAAATCTTGTTTTGTTTCTGTTTCTTGAGACAGGGTCTTATTATGTAGCTCTGGCTGTCCTGGAAATATGGAGGCCTGGCTGCCTCTGCCTCCTGAGTGCTGGGGTTAGAGGTGTCTGCCAGTGAGCCCTGGATTCTCCTCCACTTTAAAAATAGATTATATTTACTTATTTTGTGTGTGCATGCAGGCACTTGTTTGTGTGTGGGCCAAGGCTTACATGTGGCAGTCAGAGGACAATTGTAGGAGTCAGTTCTGTTTCTCACCATGTGGTTTTTAGAGATGTCAGGCTTAGTGGCAGGGAACCTTTACACACTGAGACATCTTGCCAGCCCCACCCTATATGTTTTTCAGCTACGTTTTCCCCAGTTGTTGAGGAACTGTAACATATATCTCATTTCCCAAATTCACCTTGAATGAGTAACACTACACACCTAGCAAGGGCTGTTCAGTGCTGTGCCACATGCAGTGTTCTGCACAGGGAACACAATGGCAGGAAGCCATTCCTACCGATCCCTTCCTTACTGCAGTGAAGTAACCAGGACATCCTGTTGACTACAGTGCCATCTTGTGCACTCACTGAAACACAATTCACCATGCACTCACTTGCCGTGTGTGGATGCTGCTGCTGCTTGCTTTTATGTTTTGCCAATTTTGGTGTGTTATTTTTGAAACAGGGTATCGTGAACATGTATAGCTGAGGATAACCTTGAACTCTTAATCCTTTGTCCACCTCCTGACTACAGAAGGGCTGGGCCACAGGTGTGCACTGCCATGCCTTGTCTACCAGATTTCACTCTAGAAACGGGCAGTTTGGAAAGCTGGTTTCCAAACTTTCACTAAAAGGAAGCAGGTTAGGCTGGAGAGATGGGTCAGTGGTTAAGAGCACTGACTGTTCTTCCAGGGAACCTGGGTTCTGTTCCTAGCACCAATATGGCAGCTCACAACCATCTGCAACTCCAATTTTCTTGTGGCCTCCACAGGCACCAAGTACACGTTATTATGCACAGACATGCGTGCAAGAAAACACTCATACCCACAAATAAAATAAAAAATAAAAATGAAATGGAAAGGAAGTAGAGTAACAGAGAAAGGACAGACCCCAGAGCTGCAGCATGAAAGGTGGCGCAGCCTAGACATTTGTATAGAGAAGCTGGCTAGTGTTTGAAGAGCACCCCAGAGTCAGAACAATGTGACAACTGGCTTGGAGGCTTTTGGAGTCTGTCACAATCAAACAGAATAAGGGAATGGGAAATGTACAGTCAACAATGTCCAGAGTAGTGCTAAACAAGAGAGGGGCTAGCTAATGACAGAGGAAGAGACAGGACCAGAAAGAAGCCATTCTTGGCATCACCAACTGACTTGGCAGAAAACTGGGAACAGAGTTCACATGTGTGCCCAGGGTCCCCTAGAAGGTGACCTGCTTGTACAGAGACAGAGGCAACTTTAGATGAAGGACCAGGTGTAGCATCACTAAGGATGCATTCTTCAGAGTACTAGGTGTTCCTTCCATGGACAAGTACCATGATCCTGCCTGTGGGTCTTCTGCAGCACTGCTGGACTCTTTAATACATGTGGGAAGGGCAGTGGACAGAGACAGAGGGAAGCAGGAGAGGGCATGCAGCTAAGTGAGCTGCTGACCAAATGTGTGTGGGTGCTCTCAGTACCACGTTAAAACCCCCAGTTAGAGGGCTAGGTGGTGGTGGTGTACACTTTAATCCCAGCACTCAGGAGGCAGAGGCAGGTGGATCTCTGTGAGTTTGAGGCCAGCATGGTCTACAGACTGAGTTCTAGGACAGACAGGGCTACAAAGAGAAACCCTGTTTCATAAAACAAAACAAATCAATGAAAACCCATTCTAGTTAGTTTAGTGGGTGGTAATCAGTCTGCAGGAAACTACTTCAGATTGTGCTCTATCAGAGCAGTACCATGCCCCTCCGTCTGGGTGATGTATCATAGCATCAATGAATCAGCACAGGCCACCACAGACTGAGAGGGAAGGGTGGAAGGAGAGGGTTTGATACAGGGTTGAAGGTGCTGGAGGGCAAGCGGAGCAGCTCCAGGTCTGGGTGGAGGACATGGTGGCTGGCAGCTGCACACTCTTCAGTGGCTGCTCCTGGAGGCCCCACAAATTCTGATGCCTAAGACGGGGATAGACGTCCCAGCACTGCCCCTCCACTACCTTCTCCCATTGTGTCCCTCTGAATGCAAAGGTTAATTTGAGGGCAAAGCAAGAATTCTTCTGTTGAGAGAGATCTTTTGCTGTAAGAATTAATTTTAGACCATGCCCTTTACATATACCAAAGGTGATGATGAACTTCAAATGTTAAACCACTTGCTTAAGGAATGAATTCTATGTACTGCAATAGCTGCTAGGATTATAAAGGTTGGAATGTAATTTATAAATGTGAACTTGTATTGGAAACCAGTCTCCTGGCTTGTCTGCTGGCTTTTCAGGTTAAAGAAAGTGATCTCCTTTTTCCAATCAACAGCCATCCTGTGACCAGCTAACAGGCCGTTTTGTACTGCTCCACCTTACGCTACCTCCAGAGGGGGAATTCTATGGCCAGTGCTCCTGCCCTAGGATTAGCATTTTAGGCAATAGCTGGGGCCCCAGATGTGTCCTGTTCACCTGTCCCATGGTCTGTCCCCTAAAAATTCTAGCTTTTCTGGCTGTTTTGTCCCAGACAGAGAGCAGTCTGGTGACTCCTGCTCACTTGGGAACTAAAGAAACCCACCAGGAGACACTGGCTGTTGCTCCAGGGTTGCCCTGGAGTGGCGACACCCGCTGCAGCCATAGTCTAGATTTTCAATGTCCCCCAAATGTCTATACACAAAATATTTGGTTCCCAGAGTGGTGCTTCAGGGACAGACTGGAACCATCAAGAGGGACTTAGTGGAAGGCTAGTAGGTCACTGGGGACATGCCCCTGGAGAGGATAACAGGGCCCAGCCCTTCCTTTTTGCTTCCTGGTCACAAGGCAAAGGGTTTGGCCCCAACACGGGCATCTACCACAATTCACTGCCCCAGCACAGGCCTAAAGGAACAGGACTAATCAAAACAAACCCTCTCTCTTTGTAAGCTATTATCTCATGCACTGGACTATAGAGATAGAAAGGTGATTAACAGGAATGGAAGCAGGCACCACAGAGTGTAGACAAGCTTCCCCCAAGTTAGAGATGAGCCAGAGAAGGCGCTGGGGTCCCAGTGTGATAGGGGAGGCCAGGGTAGCCTGGTCCTCTCACCAGGTTAAAGTGCCAGGAAACTATGGCTTACAGGGTTAAATGGGCTATCAGGGGCCAGGCTCAAACCTAGCAGCTGGGATTTCTGCTCTATAACTATGTTGGCTGACCTCCTCCCCGCCCTGCTCACCATCGTATGCCACCCAGTCTCCAGTGTCCACCACTGGAGAAAAAGCAGGACACCTAGACAAGGAGTTCGTACTTTCAGCATTGACACCTCTGTTCCCTACAGACACGTAAGAGGAACCAGTGCAGCTCCAGCAAAGATAGCAAGGTCCCTGGGCTGGTGTTAAGGAAAAACAGGGTGCAGAGCAAGGTCATGTGATAGCTCCAATGGCATAGACACAACTGTGCCCTGGATCTCCATATGCTCCTGGTAGCCCACTGCCCCAAGAGACACTAACCACTGCTAGGTGAGCCTGGGTTCCCAGAGGAGACATTATCACTGAAGTTACTTGCAACTGTCTCACACAGGTGACATCAAGACTTCAGACATACATCCCCCCCGCCCCCGTGAGACATGACAGCCTACCTGGAACGGGTTCGTTTCCTGCTGGCTCCAGGGCTACCACTCATCCGGTAGGCAGTAGGGACACTCCTGTCTTCCCGTCGTCTCTCAGGAGAGTGTGCTCTCCTTCTTGGGGACCGAGAGCGTGACCTAGATAGAGAACAAGGTGAACTTTAGCCCTTATCTGAGGCCTGGTCTGTGTGGTATGCACCTCCCTACCATGAGGCCAGAGAGGCCCCTGTCTGAGATGCAGGCTGCTCAGGCAGGCCCTGCCCTACTGACACCAGCTTGGAGGCATAGAGCCTCTCCCCACCCCTGCCTGGCTACAGCACAGCGCAGGTCTCCAGGAGGCTGCACTTGCCCTGTGCTCACTCACGGCCTGAAGCTTTCAGTTCACTCAAGCTGTTTCTACCCTTGGGCAGGGAAAAGCACTGACATTCTGGTAGAAGGGAGAAACTAAAGGTGGAGAAGCCGAGGACTGCAGGCTGCATCTGGCCGTCCCTCCTGTCACTCATCCCAGGCTACGTGGCAGGAGGGAACAGGACCATGCTGCAGGCCCACTGGCATGAAGCCCAAACCCTGCACCTCTCAGAACATGATGCCCTTATGATAGACTGATTAAGTTTATGGGAGGTATCATGGACACAAAACCATCTATTAATACTTATTTTTTGTTTGATTCATGCTCAGATTTACTCCACATATGACAAGAGAGACCCTCAGACCCTCTCACCCTTTGTGGGTGTAGAGGTCCTTAATACAGGTTCCTCAATGAAGGCTTGAGACTTTTTTCATTTCTCTGTCCATTTGCTATTTCAGAAAAATCTCCAATAAGCAGAAATTTAGGGGGAAAAAAACCCTACCAAATCCAAACTCCTCTCTTTGTTCTGTTTCCATGACAACCCACTCAAAAACAATATAAAGAGAGCAGTTTGATTCCACCATCTGAAAAAGTTCTTCATTAACTCATTCTAAGCACAACGAATTCCTCCCTCCCAACAGAAACAACACACAAGTTGTTCAGGAATCAAGTTCTGGTCACACCCTGGCCCCCATGTGGGGCCTCTCCAGCAGGGCTGGCCTAGGTGGTGTGCCTCCCCAGACCTTCCCTAGGCTACACAGACTACAGAGGTGGGGGCAGTCAGACACCTTGACGGTTTACCAGGTTTCCCCTCAAAAGAGCTCCAGGAGTCAAAGCTGCTCGAGGCCGAGGCTGCCTGATACCTCTCCTGCTGTGCTGCCGCCACTGCCGAGCTGCTGGGACAAGGCTCCACACTCAAGATCCCTGGGGAGGCTGAGGGCCTGCGGTGGAGGCACATACTTGACATTCAGAATGAAATGTGCCGGGCGGGGTGCTACCAGAGCCGTGAGAAAGCTCCGCTCACTCAGAGCTTAGCACCTATGGATGCTTAGCATAGAATTCTACAATAAACTCAACAGTTAGGAAAAATAAGTTAGTTTTGAATGCCTGCAGATTCAGAATGTTGAAGTACAATACCGTTTTGCAGTGGCTATCAGCATTATGAATTCATCAGAGCACATGGCTGTTCCCAGTAGAGTTCCAACCTTCTGGGAAGGAAGCCCTGTTCAGAACAGGGCAGCAAATAACAGCCGGTAATTCTTTAGGTTTCACTTTAATTAAGTAGGTCTTACTGCTTTTAATCTTGTTAACCAGGCTCCTAATGTTGATGCCAGGACAGTGCAGGAGCCGGGAAATCCGGCTTAAAGTAAGTCAGTGGTTCAGCGACACCATAGGCCTTCTTAAAGAAGACAAACCAGCCACATGTAAAAACTTCCAGGCATAGTGAGTGCAACGAAGATATCCCTTCTTGAACGACCACAATGCTTTGCTCTGGAGGCAGGAGACTTAATGATAAAACTCCAAACTATCATCTGAATGCCAGTGTCTGCTCCTCCCTGCTCCTGGGTTTCTCACAGCTGTGGGCAACAACAGGAGACTCGGCAGCCAGGGTCTGGGTCTAACCTACTGGAAACTGGTCAACTGGATGGGGTGAGGTCACCTCAACATAACCCACAGGGGGAGCGGACCACACAGGAGGGCCCAACCATCCTCCTTCCTGGTCTGTTTGTTACATGGGTTATCGCTGGGAATAGGATAGTAAAGACTCACCAATTCCACACTAAAATATGACTTCAATTTAACCTGCACAAGGTCTTTCTTACTTTTTTTTTTTTTTTTGAGACAGGCTGTCCTGGAACTAGCTCTGTAGAACTCTACCTCTCACGTGCTGGGGACTAAAGGTATGTGTCACCATGCCCAGTTTTCTTAATGAATGCTAAATAAAACTAGCAAAAACCAACCAACCAAACAAAATCCCCTTAGCCTGCACTCTTCCCATGCTAGAAGGGATTTATGCAGAAATGTCTTTATCACACAGCCATCCACACTGCTGGGCTGCCCACAGGCCTTAGCTCAACACTGAGGGGATCTGACTTTGGAAGGTTAACAGATAAGCAACTTCACACGTCACTGGTGGAAGTTAGTGCAATAACACCCAAACCATTACTGTGACTTAGCTGTGTACCTGCTGCTTCGCCTCAGGAAGAAAGAATGCTGGACACAGCACAACTGAGAGCTGGAACCTGGACAAGTCTTATGCTTTGGTCAAGGATGACTCAAATCCCTCATAGCCACTATGCTTTTGGAGGTACTGGGCATCACTATGAGACTAAAGAATTTTGTTAAGAATTTGTCTTTGCAGATCCAAAGTCACCTACAGTTTGGACACATAAAGAAAGCAGTTTGTGCTCTACAAGCACATCACACAGTAAATGAACATTACACTGTCCTGCATTTTATATCAGACCAGAACCACTTAATATAGAGAACACACTTCAGTTACAGTATGCTACCACAGGAGAATGCCAACGACTGCAGCATCTTACTTTGAGCTAGCAGTCATCATTTAAAAATGACCACTTAGGATGTGCCAGGCCTGAAAAGTACGTCTAGTATGTCTTAGTGTAGATGTTGCCATGGCAATGGGTTACTCTACCTGAAAAGATAGTTAAAGACAAATAATGACAGTATCGTCAGCACTTTCTGCACTGTGGTTAGAATGTCAACAGCACATAGCATGAACCTGCCATCCCATTTCAGTCACAACTGCAACGTTTTATTTGGTGTCTTTCTGTCTTCAAGATATTGTCTTAGTATGAAGTATGAAGTGAAGACCCTGCACATCCTCTCTTCTCCTGCCTTGGTCTGAGTGCTGGGATCACAGGCATGGCTACTGCACCTGCTGTAACCATGGCTTTCAAACAGCTTTGATCCTGGGAACGATCATGTTGGCAGGGCCTGGATTAGGCAAGCAGCTTTGCTTTCAGCTTGGGAAAATACAACCCTAACCCAGAGAGCATGCAGGAACAAGAGCAAGAGGATAAAGGGAAGACCAGAGGGTGAGGTCCATGTGTGGCCGAGGACAGCAGCTTCTAGGATGCATGTTCCAAGCTCTCGGGGTGTTTTGCATACAGACAGTAGTTAGAAGGTGGGTCACATTACCAACACTCTTAATCTGCAGAAAGGCTGTACTTGTCTTGATATTTTATCTAAACTGTAAAGTCAAACATCAAAGATCAACTTATCCAATGCTGTAAATTATGTGAGTTATTTAACCAAATTATTCAAAAGAATCTTTCTGATCTCATCAGCCCCTGAGGTGGAAGTTTGGGGAGCTTTGAGAATGACCAGCTGTAAAACATTAAGATCAAATTAAGATAAAACTGAAGGCCTACCATCAGAGAAGAAATAATGGTCAGAAACATTTCAGCTTCATTTTGTCTTTTAACTGACAGTTATACTAAGGAGCAGGATTTTGCTCCTGGACCTGTAGGCACTGAAGACATAAAGTGTTATAAATAATGCACTTGTATAAAATATGCAAACCTAAGTCTATTGCAAACTTAAAAACATTTTAAAAGGTAAGATAATATATAAAATAAGCTAGTCCATTATAGTTAAGGACTACAGTTAACTGTAGCCAGGAACTTACAAGGCAGCCGTTAGGTGAACACCACTACCTGGGGACAAGCTGGCAGGCAAAGCACAAGGCAATCTGTCCTACCACACACTGAGATTAACGTGGGTGCCTGAGGGGAGGAAGGGCCTGGGCAACCCTCTCTACTGGCTCAAAGCCTGGGAGTCATGAGGAAACTGTTTTCCCCCTTGTCTGAGCTCAGGAGTAGAGGAAATCTGGGTGAACTGACTAGCCAGAATGAGACTGAAGGATAGGTACAGCCTGTGTTGTTTGGATCTGTGACACAAATTCTAGGAGCTTAAAAAAAAAAAATCTAAAGCATGACCGCAACTAAATGACAAGCTTTCTGGTAATGGTACAAAGTGCTGAACTTCCAAGAACTAGAACCAAAGGCTTACCATGAAGACAAACACACTCTGTGAAGACAGTCACAATAGTGACTGCTGAACCTCATTTTTAAACCTTTTAACACAAGAGGTATGCTCTGGGACCTATGAAGTTCAAGTTTACTAATTCTGTTTCCAGAAATGCTAAACTGCTTCTTTAACACCTGGCTCCTTATCAAGAGGGGTTTTTGGTAGAACATTTGGAGGCAGCAGGCTGAGATGAAGAAACAGATCCACACAGCTGCCTCATCTACACTCACTTGCAGACACTCTGTAGAACATCTGAACACAGACTGAGTGGGAAGGGCTGCTGTACCACTTCACACTCAGAAGCTATCAGCACAGGAAAGTTCATTCATACAAAATAACTCCAGCATGCCAGTCTATGAATTTCTACAACTCAACACGTGTCACTCCCTTTATGAGTTGTAAAGCAAACAATCCCCCCACTCTCTACAAGGCAGTCTCATGTTCTCAAATTTGCTATACAAATATAACCTTGAATGCCTTGATCCTTCTGCCTCCATCTTCCGAGCGCTGGGATCACAGGCATGTCTTACCATGCCCACTCACAACTTCCTTCTTCAAAAATCTTGGTGGGAGGGAGAGGATAAGTTTTTTGTTGTTTATTTTTCAAGTCAGGATTCTCTGTGGAGCCCTGACTGTCATGAAACTCACTCTGTAAACCAGGCTGTCCTGGAATTCACAGAGATCTGTCTGCCTCTGTAGGCGTGCACCACCACCCAGCAACTCATTTTGTGTGCGTGTGTGTGTGTGTGTGTGTGTGTGTGTGTGTGTAGGTCAGAGGGCAATGCTCGGTGGTTTTCCTCAGCAGTCATTCACTGTGGGTTTTTTGAAACTAGTCTCATTAGCCCAGAACTTGCTATATAAACCAGGTAGGCCTTGAACTCAAGAGATCCACCTGCCTCTGCCTCCTGAGAGCTGGGAGTAGAGGCTTTTGTCCACATATCCATCCCAGTCACCTGATTTTGAGACAGTCTCTCACTAGCATGGATTTTGCTGATTAGGCTGAGCGTAGACAATGAGCCCAGTCTATGCTAGAGTTAGAAGCACACACTATCAGGCCTGGCTTTTTTCAGCCAAGTCCTCATGCTGTACAACAAATTGTACTGACTTGAGCCAGTACCCTGGTGTAGCTTAGACTGCCTTGAACTGGAGATCCTCTTACTTCTTCTACCTCCAGAGTGAAGAGTGAAGTATAAATAAGCTATGCAGAGATAAGAAGCATAAATAAATCATTTAACCTATAGTGACTGATGAGCTTTGAAAAGCCTCAATAATATTTGAAAGATTTTGTTTAGATTTGCAGGATGACACACATACACATCCTAGTGCATTCACCAGCCTAGTGAACACTGTGCTTATTTTAAACATACACAAACACACATATCCCTAGTGTGTTCATCAGCCTAGTGTACCCTGTGCTCATTTTAAACCTTCTGCTGGCTCTACAGGGTGCCAGGAGGAGGCTCAGCACGCAGGGTGCCTGCACACCCACCTGGACCGCCGCACTGTCCGGTAGGCGCTGGGCAGGGAGTGCTTGGCTTTTGAGTGGGATCTAGACCTGGGCTTGGAAGACGAGTGGTACTTGGGGGAGCGGGACCTCGTTCGAGACCGTTTTTTGTGCTTCTTCTTCTTCTTTTCTCTTTCTTCTTCTCTTGGTGGGTCTCTACATCTGCTTGAAGGCCTTTCTGGAGGCTTCACTTCTAACATGGGAAGAGTTCTACCTCCAACCAGCAGAGGACAGGGCATGACACCGGTTTCCTGGAAACATAAGTGAATGTGTGGATGTCAACAGGAAATACAACACTTAATATGTAGATAGCTAGGGGACTGTTATCTATAAAAATCCCCCTGCTGGGTGTATGGATTATACCCGTGATTGACGCATGTAGAGGGCCGAAGTAGGGAAATTGCCTTAAGTCTGAGGCCAGCTTGGACTACAAAATTTAATTCTAGACTACTCTGGTATATAGTGAGATCCTGTCGTAAAAGACAAACAAACCTTTGGCCTTTCAGGAAAAATATAGTTTTAACTAGTCATCGGTTGCTACATATGGAAGATTTCTTTTTGTGCCTGGAGGATTTAGCAGTAAGGTTTATGGGAAAACTCAAGGCAGATGCTCTGTGTGAGCAGCCTCTCATACTGCCCCAGATGTCTGGGGGCCCTGGAATGGGATGGGGACAGAAGTAGTGTGCACATGCATTTGTAAACCTGCAACTGTGGGTATGGGGGCTCTGCCATTGGGCTCATTCTGGCAGTTGATTACATCCCTGCACACGATTCTTACAGAACTACCAGCTCACGATGAAGAGCTATGCCCAGTAGGTTGAGCTGAGGCCAGATGGCTACCTGCAGTTGTCAGACAGGAGGGAGAGCTCTCAGTTTTTCCTTGAACTCACTTCTGCTTAGGCCACTAGCTCACAGGCTTATCATCACTGATGTAATATTCTTAGCTAGTGTATAGACTGCTTAAAATTTTAGTATACCATTAATCTCTTTCTTCTTTTAGATAGGGTCTCACCTATGAATTCCTGGCTGGCCCGGAACTCATAGAAAGTGCTGCCTGAGTGCTGAGATTAAAGGCAATTTCTGTGAGTTCTACTATATCCATCCAGTACTAATTTTCTATGTCAATGAGTACATTTAAAGACATCACTTAAGATCACACTTGGATATGTAAAGCCATCTCTAATGGCCAATGGCACTGGGCAGACTAGCATGCAGAAAAGGACCATGTACATGTGCATGGCGGAATGCTACCCCGTGGGTGCCTGCCCATCCCAAAGATGTGACTTTATCTCATATACTTAAAGAGCCTGTAAGAACTCTTATCTACATCTAGGTGGTTAAATGGGTGAATGTGCCAACATTTGTGGGCAAAGAGCACATCAAGTTACTCAGCAAAGTCAACAACAGCCTATCCATGAAGTTTCTTGATAGTGACAACATTTTGGGTTTGACTCTCATTTATTAACTGTCAATTTATTATGCGTTCTTCTGTTTCAAAGCAATCAGACACTTATCACCATCTGCTCCTCATGTTCCCTTTCTGTTGAAGCAGCTCCGCTGAGATAATCTTTGTGTGTACACACAATCAAGGAGACCATTCCAGAGCCAAACATCCATGGATTATAGACAGGGCTAATGTTGGCAGACAAGAATGGAGTCATCCTGAGAGCAGACTTTGGTGCTGCCAGCAGGCCGATGACAAACAACCCACATCAGAACACAGAGGCAGTATTGCAACCATGGATTGTTCTTAATCTATCTGCAGATATGGCTTTACATATTTTTTATTTTTTGCTATTTTGGAGACAGGGTTTCTCTATGTAGCCCTGGTTGTCCTGGAACTCACCCTGTAGACCAAGCTGGTCTTGAACTCATAGATTCATCTGCCTCTGCCTCCTGAGTGTTGGAATCAAAGGTGTGTGTGTGTACCACCATCACCCAGTGGCCTTATATTATTTCTTAAAAATTAATAATAGATTGAAATATAAAATCATAAATATATAGTTATCAATAACATGGAAATACATCTATATATTAATTATGAAAGGTTATAACATAATTTTTTAAATTAATAATATAAAAAATAAAAATGAATGATATACAATATATTTATATATTATCTGTCTCGAGTGTGGAGGTCAGAGGACAACTACTGAGTCTGTTTTCTCTTTTCACTATGTGGGTCCCAGGGATCCAACTCACGCTTACTAGGCTTTGCAGCAACCATCTCTACCTACTGAGCCTTCTCATGCTGTTCTGTCTGGCTTCCACCCCCACTTTGAGATAAAGTCTCATCTAGTGCAGGCTGACTTTGAACCTGCCATAACTAAGGATGATCCAGAACTTCTGAACTGCCTTACTCCCAAGCGCTAGGATTATTGGGTGTGCTAACATGTATCAAAGACAAAACCTAAAACTATATACATTCCAGGGAAGCATTACGGCTTACAGATGTGTCTTAATGAATCTCTTTGTTCATTGTACAAATCAGAATGAAATAAGAGATTCAAGCAAGCTTCATGCATGCCTGCCCATGCATGTGCTGCCCATCTCCTTCCATAACTGCAGAGTTCACATTCTTGCGCTCCTTCCCTCACACTGCATGCCACAGTGCCAGATGAATGCCCTCAGCTGGGGCCACAGTGTACCATGGCTGCCTTCAGCTGGGTATACTCTGTTCCTACTTTCTGCAGGAACAGGCCTTGTGTGAGGAACCAGAAGGCAGTCCACCTTTGTGGGGCTCTGGAAAATGGGGTTGCTATGTTCTGCCACCTCCCTGAAAAGCTCATTCTGGCAAAGACAGGACAGAAGTCGGCATGAGGACAGGACCACTGAGAACACGTGAGGTGGACACAGAAGCAGCGGGTCTTGACATCCAGAAGGTGGAAAACAAGTCTCTAACCACAGACACACTGTAGACTCCAAAGGCACTTACAAGTGTCAATACAAGTTAAAAGGGAGAAGGAGCCAGGAGTGGTAGCTGAGGAAAGAGAACTGATATGCGGTCCAGCCCCCTTTCCTTTTCCAACAATAGCAAACCAGAGCAAAGGGCTTGTTCTGAATTATGAGGGAAAATCAGGTGTAGAAGTCCGAATGAAAATGGCCCACAAAAGGCTCACAGGAAGTGACACTATTGGGAAGTGTGTCACTGGGGATGGGCTTTGGGATTCCAGAAGCCCAAGCCAGGCCCAGTGGCACTCCTTCTTCCTGTTGCTTGCTGATCTGCATGTAGAACTCTCAGCTAACTCTCCAGCACCGTGTCTGCCTGCACACTGCTATGTTTCCTACCACGATAAGAAACTAAACCTCTGAACTGTAAGTCAGACTCAATTAAATGTTTTCCTTTAAAAGAGTTGCCAAGGTCATAGTTGTCTCTTCTCATCAATAGAACCCTAACCAAGACCAAGCATAATAGATATTTGAAGATACCTGGAGACAAGGTCTTGCTATGTGGTCCAGGCCGTCTTCCAAGTACGAGGATTCTAGGGGCATGCCTAAGAGGCTGTTATATTTTTCCTAAATATTTTAATTTTTAAATCATATATGTATGTTTGTATCTGTATGTGGTATGGCACGCAAGGGTAGCTGCTTACAGAGTCCAGAAGAGGACATCAGAGCAGGAGTCACAGGCTGCTGTGAGTTGCCTGCTATGGGTGCTAGGAACCAAAATCAGGCCCTATAAAGCTGTATGTACTTACTTTTAAGCACTCCTACCCCCAAATCAAAGTTTAGGATAAGAAAAAGAAAAAGTAGTCACCATCCTCCCTCAGTCTCCCAAATATGATTACTGGTGTGACATTGGGTCCACAATGCCCAGGTGACATTAAATTGTTTTTTCAAGATTTATTTTATGCGTATAGGTGTTTTGCTTGTACATATGCACCGTGTGTGTCTGTGGAGGCTAGAAGAGGGTGTCAGAGCTCCTGAAAACTGGAGCGATGGATGACTGTGAGCCACCATGTAGGTGCTGGGAATTAAACCCTAGAAGAACAATCATTGCTCTTAACTTGTGACCCATCTTTCTAGCCTCCCAAGGAAGATTCTGAAATGACCACTTTGAATTGCTCTTCAGAAGGACTGAGCTGCACCTTTCTGGCGACTGCCGCTGGGTCTGCACTCCAGCTGTGCCACCCTTCAAGCCTTGAGGCATTTGATGCACTGCTAGTTTTCTTACTTAGAAAACTTACATTTCTAAAAGCTTCTTGAACTCCTCCATGAATTCCTAGATACCCATGAAGTATATTTTAACCCCTCCCCCTAAAAAAGTCTTAAAAGATACCTATCAAGAATCTAGAAGAGAAGACCCAGGGTTGGGGATGCAGGTCAGGGTAGGGCACTCACCCGCTACAAATTTGGCCCAGGGCTCCTTGACCAGGTCTAGATAGGCATGACCAGAATTTTCACTGACTGACAACTGCTGCAGCCAACAACATTTACTCAGAGTTCCTGGTGCTAGGCATTGCTTCACGTCAAGGTACCCTGTGATGATCCTGTTCAAGGCCACCACTTAGGAAGGAGCTGCCTGGGCTCTCTATGACCTCTTGGTGCTGAGGATGAGCTCAGGGCTTCCCACACCTTAGTACTCTCCCACTGAGCTGCACACCCAGAGAAGACAAAAGAGTGGCTGCAGTTCACTTTTTCTTTTCCCTAATTACAACATAATGCAGATACGGGTGATCTCTGCCCTAGTTTAAGCTTAACAATGTGGCTGCATCCACTGAGGACCGACCTAGCCTTATCTGTCTGACCACATGTAGCTGGAGCCCCTCCCTGCAAGGGTAGTCATGAGCTGAGCTTTCTAATCAGGATCTATGGCTGTGTTCTAAGACTGCAGTCTGCCTTTGGTGTGTTTACAGGTAACTGTCACGGCATCTCTTTTCACAGACTCAAAGCTATCAGCAAAGCCTGTGCCTCTATGTTGCTGCCATCTGACTCAAGGCTGGGGTTCCATGAGCAGAGCAGGGCAGAGCCAGCTCTCATCTACTACAAACCCAAGCACGCTATCAGGACTTCTTATACATACCTCTACACTGAAAGCACTCTCCTCAAGTTTCCCAATTTCTGTTTCTGGAAGAGGATTTTTTAAGGTTTGTAAAAACAAAGCTGCTTTCCTTTTACGTTCGGCCTGAAGCTGCTTCTCCTTTGATTCCTTGGATGCCTGGGCCAGCTTTTCCCGTGCAGCAGCAGCAAGGCGGTCCTCCAGCTTTTGTTTTGCTATAGAAAACAAGGAAGGCAGAGTTTACGATAAGCAGTGTTTTACTCCTAATTCTCACAGGCACCTTTTGGCTTTTCAACAGCACTGCCATTTCAACAGCAACCTCAGAGCACGCAGACACCTGGGAAAGACCACAAGTTTGAGAAAATAAACTTACTATGTTTATTATTTTTATGTTTAAAGGGATGTCTTTTACTCCAAAGGCAGCAAAGCAAGGCTGAAGGGGGTTCCATGATGGTAGAAGCTGGGGCTGGATACTGGGAACCGCAGAATGGCTCTCATGCACAGGAGCCACCAACACTGCAAGTGGGAAGTGTCTTAGTTCAGAGGGCATGACAAACTGCTGAGGTCAAGCACCCACAGAGTGCAAACTTAAACACACAAGTGTGACTGTAAGTGAACTGAGGGAGAGCAACTATGGACCCATTGACATGCTCTCCTCTGGAAGACACTGGCTCCAAGAGCATCCTTTAATCAGTGCTGTATGGTCTATTCATGCATACCCAGACATTGCAATCCAAGAAAACCAGTAAGTATAGTACAGGTAAAAGTACAAATGCATTTATCAAGTAACTCCTTCACTATGGAATATGACTTATTTTGGAGGTGCAGATGTCCCCATAATGCTAAGCATTTTACCACAGTTCCAGTCCCAGTCCATGTTCCTCACATGCTGTTGGCCATGCTCTGACCCATGAAGATGAGCCAGAGAAATCAACTCTGCCAGGCATCATCTTCAAGGGCTGATGAGGGCCTCTCCCAGTTTGGTGCATTAACTGGAGCTAGGAATCCAGGCCTGGTGCCTCACCCCGGGGCTGTCGTCCAAGTACAAAGTGCGTCTCCATTAGAGCTGCCCACTTAGCGCATTAAGCTGCTCTGAGTACAGATTGCCAAGGGCACTGCATCAAGCTAAGGAGCACACAGTGCCACACAGGACTTTCACAGCTCCTGCGTGGCTCCAGGCTTTGGTTCGTAGTCTTAGAATTTCTGGCTTAGCACATAAATCTTATATTTGTCTTTTCTCTTTCAAGAACTTTAAAAGCTATCAACAAACCTTGCTTTGCTTCTAGCTCCTCCTGGGTGAGCTGGGGCTTCTTCTCCTCCATGACCACACAGGGTGGGGCTGCAGCTGGGCTGGGGTTGGCCACGCTGTTTGTGCTTTCCTGGCATTCCCTGCTTTCTTCATCTTCTTCACTATCATCGTCCAACTTGACTCGGTTTTTTTCCAGAGGAAGTAGGTCATTTTCTTTGGCCTTGATGGCAAAGCTTATTGGAGCAAATGAAGCTGCTGGGAAAAGGTGACAAGTGTGACACATTTTTAGGCACCAGAGCAAAATGTGCAGACTTTATCATAGGCAGATAGCACTTACAAGAGAGATGGCTGACAGGTGATGGCACCTGTAGTGAAGGCACCCCCGCCCGTGTTGTGTGTGGTCTACAGGTGGGGCTGCTGCAGTGTCAAAGGAGTCTTGTTTAAATACTCGAGGCAAGTGATCAGACTGGGGTGTGTGTCTGAACCACGCTTAACAAGGGCAGTGTAGTGCTGGTGTCATAGCAGACATACACCCGCTGAGTATGAAATGGTCACCTTTAGTCTGAATAATCAATTTTTGTCATTTTCCTTTTTGTAATGTGTGTGCTTGAGTGTGGCACGTGTGCAGGTCAAGGTTAGAGGACAACTGGGAATCAGTACTTTCCTACCACATGGGTTGTGGGCATTAAACTCGGGCTGGCAGAATTGACAGTATGAGCCTTTACCCACTGAATCATCTTGCTAGATTGCCATTTTTCTTCAAGAAAAAATTTTTCTTTTTTAAAAAAATCTGGTATGCAGCTGAAGTGGTATGACTGAGCATGCGCCATGGCTCCACTAAGAAACAGTGTCTAGAAAACCACCAGTTACATTAAAAGAAAAAAAAAAGCCTATTCTCCAAACAAAATCCGAACCAAAACAAACACAGAATTCATTCTTTTATTCAGTGAACACGGCAAGCATCCTGTCAGACCGTGATCTACACCGATCACAAGTATTTCAATGTGTAACAAAAATTTAGGTGATACCCCAAACACTTGAGAGAAACGCAAAGGCCTTAAAGGAGACCTGTCAACACTGAGTCTCTCTGTCACTTACTACACTGAGTGACTCCTAGCAGCCACAGATGAAGTCAGACACTACAGCCTTCATCCATGATGGGCATCAAGAAGCTACACTGAAAGGCATCTGCACTGCACTGAGAACAGCTGCCTCTGAGTGAGGCGGACTGCGGGAAACTTACTGCAGTTCCCCTGCACCTCTCCCCACCCTGTCCCCCAAGCTTCTCAGGGCAGGACACTTGGCCATGTGCTGGGCTGAAGAGAATTTATACCTGTGACATACGCCCCATTTAATACCCAAGAGTCAGGAGAACAGACTTCCATGCGACCCCTGGTAAGAAGCAGAGCGCACTTTGAGCTGCTGCGGTACTGTAATGCTGATCCAATATTAACCAAAGTCCTCATTTTTCATAGTACAACCAAGATGTCTATGCTAATGCCATAATGAAGATCTGCGGCAGCAGATTCTGAGTGGAATGGAAGACAGGGACAGAGAGATGCAGAACAACGCAGTCCAAGGGCCGACTGCTGAAGGTAGTGGTGAGTACTTGGTGAGGCCATGTGTTGTTTTAGTACATGTCTTAAGGTTCCCTAAAAAAACTTAAGTTTGCCAGGTGGTAGTGACGCTCACCTTTAATCTCAGCACTCAAAAGGCAGAGGCAGGCAGATCTCTATGAGTTTGAGGCTAGCCTGGTAAACAGAGCAAGTTCCAAGACAGTCCAGGTTACACAGAGAAATCTTGTATAGAAAAAGAAAAGGAAAGAAAAGAAAAGAAAAAGAAAGAAAGAAAGCTAAGTTAACAAAGCAAACCCTTTACTGCCTGTGGTAACATGGTCTCTTTAATAAGCAGAGGGTCAGGGACATTTTTAAAAGAGAAAATTCATAAAATGTTAATGGGCTCACTCATGAAGCGAGACAAAAAATACAAGATGATTTAAAAACACCTGTACTATTTGTAGAAAAGGACAGGCAGATCATGACAACGGAAGTACGTTGAACACTTTGTAACGCTCAGTCTGGAGAGCATTCACTTAGACACAGAGCCAAAGCACCGTTATTCCCACACAAGGAACCTAATTACAGAGCCACTTAACCTGCGCGTCTCAGTATCCTGTCCCACTGTTGACGATTGATTAGATCATCAGGGGCCCTGTACCCCATGGCACTGATGAGAACCAAGAGGCCAAGGTCAGGAAGCTTCCCTAGGTAAGTCAGTACAGCCAAAGGCCCTGAGAATTCTGGAATATTCCGATTACACAATTTGCACACCACATCTTGCATTACCACTGATCCTAAGCTCTTTCTCCAGGTGGCCCATACCTTGTATGCCCTTCTGCACTGTTCTCAAGTCGAGACAGATGTCCTTGCCTGTTGCCTGTAGGATCTGTTCCTTTCGGCACATGTGACCCTCAAGGATGGGTCCAGTATCCCTGGCCTCACAGCTTCTTCTCCACTTCTGGGTACTAACTGCATGTATGTGTACACATATATGTGTGTATTTTGAGATGAGTTCTTAGCTATGTTGCAGGTACCTGACACTTTGCCTAGATGAGTGGTATTACTATTATTACTAATTATATGTTGTTCTTATGGTGCATTCATGTGCCCAAATGTGTGCAGATGAGCACATCTGTATGAGGGGAACAGAGGTTGATGTCTCTGGCTGTTGTTCTCCACTTTGTTTTTTGAGACAAGATCTTTCACTGAAACTGGTATTTATCAATGGCTAGCCTGGCTGGCCAGTGAGCTAGGGAGTCCTGTTCCTGGTCCTCCTCAAACCACACGCTAGGGTTACAGCCATCCCTGGTCTTTTGGTAGGTGCTAGGGATGGGAGCTCAGGTCCTCATCCTTGCATAGTAAGCACTTTACCCACAGAGCTGTCTCCTCATCCCTGATACAAGTTTTTTTTTTTAAATCTGTTTTTAGAATTATTTTAGATTCATTTGTGCGTATGAATGTTTTACCCGCATAACTGTATGTGCACCATGTGCATACCTGGATTCCCTAGGACTGGAGTTATGGGTGGTTATCGATACTAGGAGAAGACTCCTAGTACTATGTGGGAAGCCAACCCAGGTTCTCTGCTCTCCAACCCCAGCATTTTGTTTTCCTCATATGAAGAATGGCCTCAGTCCATTTTCTGACCCAGAAAAGCTCTTTGTACAGTAAGGACATTAACCCTTCATCGTCCAACTTACTGTCACTTGCCTTTTAACTTTACTCTGGCTCTGTTTTCTAGATCTGTAAGCCTGATTTCTGGCTTCAATTCTCTGATTCTAAGATCATATACATACATATATACATACATACACACACACAGACACAGACACACACACACACACACAGACACACACACACACACACACACACACATATGTATATATTAACAATTGCTTTCCTTTCCTCCTGGCTCTTCCTCCTTCCTCTCTCTACAAGGTCTCCTGTAGGCTCACAAAGTTGGTCTTGAGCTCCAGATCCTCCTGCTGCCTTCACCTCCAGCGCTGAGATCATGGGCATGCACTATCCACAATGACTACATTTAGAAACTGAACTTCTGGAATCACTGTTAGACACCTGAGTCTTATTAACTCTTTAAAAGTTAAGGTGGCTTACAAGATGGCTCAGTGGGCAGGGAGCTTGCTGCAAAGTTTGACAACCTAAGTTTGATCCCAGAGACACACATGTTGAAAGAGGAGTTAAAGAGGAGCTTGCCCGCCCAGTTTCAGTTATCATTACACTACTGGAGTTTCAGAAGACCAGCACTTTCTCAGAGCCTACTGAGACAAGACCCCAGAAGTCTGCTTGCAGACAGGTGATGGAGAGGCCATACCAGGGCCCTGGAACAACACCACTGCTTATTCCTGTCACCGCTTTAGTACAGTTGGAGTCCACTTAATATTTTAACATCATGCTTCTAAGTGCTGAGGTCTATAGATCGCTGGGCTCTGAGAGCTTCTTAATTCTGTCTCCCATAAGCCCCGGAGAAGCTCTACTGACAGAGATGATCTAGTTCTCCAGGGTAAATTAAGCCAGCCTTTAATTTGTTTTGGCCTATTGCCTGGTTCTAGAGGCTGTGCACCAACCAATATTTTAAAAATCTGCCAGACTAAAAATCTGTCAGTTTTCCTTTCTTTCTCTTCTTTTCTTGAAATAATTTTGGCAACCTATGAAATGGTATTTTTCAGTGACTTCAGTTCATTTCCATTTAAGGTTATGTACATGCCATCGTTGTATATTTTGAAAAAGATTTACAACTTTGTGTTCATATCTGCATTCTTCTCTTGAGCACATGCAACGTATTTTACTAGTCTTTAAAAAATTACTTTCTCAGTAATTTCTTAATTTTTATTCCTTTGTTTCTGCTTTCCTTATAAGCATTTTTTAGATTTTGAGAGGTTCTCACTGTCAGGAAGCTTGTATTGAAAGTACTGCCTCAGCTTCTGCAGCATTGGGTTCTAGGTCTGTGCTGGGTTTCCATCCTATATCCTGCTCTCTGCCTCTCCCCCCCTGCCCCCCCCCGCCAAGGACTGAACATGCCCAGGCCATGTTGTACTGCACCCCAGCTCACTTCCTAGTTTTCCTAATTTCTTGAGTTCAATGTCCATTTATTTTTTGTTTGTTTACCAACATAAACAAGTAATGCTATTGTCTTTTTTTGCAATAGTATCTTATTTTATTTTTGCCCCCAGCAGTGTAGGGAACAGAATCCAGGAAAGTGCTCTACTGCTGAGCTATGCCCTAATCCATAAAACTTCTTTGATGTTCTTACTGTTCTTATTTCTGTGGACTCAGGACTTTGGGGTGCTGCTATGCCTATAGGCCTTCCTGTTCTAGCATTCAGAGGTACAGAGAAATGATGCACTGACTTGCCCTCTCTCCTCTTCAGAGAGAAGCCTGGCTGTTTCCACCTGGACAAACTTCTACATCTGTCCCTATCTTTGAGATTTCTGAGAACTTCCCAGGCCGTCTTCTAGTCAGTCTGACCTCGGTGACTTCATCATGCTTAACCTAGCAGCATTTCTGAGCAGTCTTCGGAAGCTGTCAGATTATTGGCAGCCTCAGTTTAATAACATCCTCAACTCTTTTGAACATAAAGACCTAAGAATCTGTTCTGATACTTAAGGCCAGCGGCTCAGTTGTTGTCTTCTAGATCTCAGCCCCTCAGCAGGGCTGTGCTTTTCTATCCTGAACTGCAGAGGAGCAGGCCTGTCTCTTCCAGGTCTCGCTGTGGGAGAAGCATATCAAACACTATGCATTTCTATCCTTACCTCTCTGGCTTCTCTTACCAGGGTGGGCAGGCTGGTGCAGCAACTGAGCCTGGAGCTCCTTTCTCTGTGGCTCTGAAGCCACTCCAGGCAAAATCAGTCTAGAGGGTGCTTCCAGGATAACAGCCACCTCGTGGATGTCCCCTAGCTTGTCCCAGTCTTCCACCTTCTCCTTGCTGGCAGTGGATGTCCTGGGACCACTGTCCTCAGACATCTCTCTTCCCCTTAAAAGGAAGTCCCAGATGGGCTGCTTGTCTTCCAGCATGGGACAGCATCTCAAATGGTTTCTACGCAGAAGGTGCTGCTCTGCTTCGTTTGTGCCTTTGCTTATTTCAGCAAGAGCAGGAGGCGGGCAGTCACCTGGCTTTCTAAACAGTGCTCTCCTAGTGATAACCAGATTACTGTGAATCCTCTCCATTCTCCCTACCCACCCGGAAGGCCGCTCTAGGTCAGGAAAGAGATTGCTGCCTGTGTCCGCTGTCACTCTTCTACTAGGAGCTGTGGGCTTGTGCTTCTATTGCTACCACTCTTGCATTAGCCACTGGGCCACCAAAGGCCCCCAACTGTCCCTCTATCTTAATCTCAAAAAGCCAATGCTAACCCTAGTAACCACAAAGGCCTCAGGGGAAGCAAAGTCCCAGATGATGGGCAGTACACCTCTCCAGACTGAATCACTACAGCCACCTGTCACTACACCAAAGCAAGAACCTCACTTATCTCTGAACACTCAACACAATCTTTTCTGCAGTCTCTTTTCCAGTAAAGGAAGCAACGACTTCTTCACAGAGTTCTGCTAAGCGGTCTGAAGCAGTCTTTCTTCTCTCTTCTCTGTTGCACCAGCCAGTTACATACATCTGTCCTGATAGACCACATCATCTCGACAGGGACAGGGCAAGGAGACCAAATGTGAGTGAGCGCAGCACTGACGGACAAGGGCTCTCAAGGGAGCTACTTGGACAAGGAAAACAAACCTCATCACAATAGTTTGCACTAAGCTGGGACCTAGTGGAGAGTATTTGCTCAGACGAGTAGTGGTGAAGACCCCAGAACCACAAATAACCGAACAGTTTCAAAGGTCTGGGTGAGGATGAAATACGATTTGAATATTTATAAACATGTCCACTAAATGGCTCGAAATAGGCTAAAAGCTGCTGGATACTTGAACTAGCACGCGTTTACAGGGTTCCAAACATGATGTTTGGAAGCAGGATAAGGTGAACATGCTTAAATATAGCAGCAGTTCAAGAAGCCAAGCCCAATCAGCTCCCATGGTTGAGGTACTTAGTTCTGTCCCTCAGGAGGGAAGTCCATGAGGCCTAGGCTTCACCTGGACAGCGCACCTTTTACCAGCTTCCCGTCCACGGTGCTCTTGCTGGACCCAGCCTCCTTCTTCCCGCTGCCTCGTCCCCCAGTCTCTGCCATACCCTCAGCAGTGCCGTCCTCCCCGGCTTCACTCGACTCTTCAGCAGCAGTTTCTGTGGAAGTCTCTTCAGCTGTGGATGCTACCTGGAAAGAGAGACAGCACTTGCACTGTTACATGACAATTATGCAGGTTTGTCAGTATATTCCACAGTACATGCCCATAATCTCAGCACCAGGAGGTAAAGGCAAGAAGACCAGGAGTTCAAGAGCATACTGGCCAAAGAGAGTCTGAGGTCAGCCTGTGCTTCATGAGTCACTCTAAAAAAACACACTGAAACAATCTCCCAAACCGCCAAAAATAGCATTTCCACATTTCAAATTCTGACTTGTAGTTTTATTGTGCTTTCGAGTGTGTGTGTGTGTGTGTGTGTGTGTGTGTGTGTGTGTGTGTGTGTGTTTTACTGGGGACTGGACCCAGGGCCTCTGATATGCTAGACAAGTAGTGCTCTGCCACTGAGCTCCATCCCCAGGCCCGCCTGTATGTTTATAAAACAAGAGACTAAAGTGTTGAAGAAGTACCTTTTCCTTGGAGTCTGGTTACTGACAATACCTTCAGAATAGAATCCCCCACTGACTATGGATGAGTGAGCAGCTTCAGTTTCAGCAATCATTTCTGGCAGAATAAGCTCAAAAGTGCAAGGAACTATGCAATGGACTGTTGTACTTGGCAGCTAGGCTCCAGCTCTGCCCCTGGAGGGCAGTGAACAGCTCCAGCACGTGCACCATGAGGTGCGTTACATGTAGTCAAAGTAAACTGGGCACAGTGGCACGTCTGCAACCCCAGCACTTGGGAGGCAGAGGCAGGCGGATCACCTGGGACACATGAGGCTATGTTTCAACTCCCCTCCCCAATATTGTTAAAAGTAGCCTCCGTTGCTTGAAGCAAGTGTTTTCTGTTTGGAACATGCTGGAGAAGTGGTCACTAAGGCACAAGTGAGTGGGTGCTTCAACAGATCTTAGACAGCTTCACCTCTGAAGGGAAAGGTTAGACATAATGTAGACTTGAGAATAAACAGGAAGTCATTTCTGCACTTGTTATCAGAGCTTGTTTCATGCCTTCCCCACCTTCAGTGAATACCTGTGTGCTACTGCTTCCTTCCTTCTGCAGGAAGAATTGCTTCTTAAACTCATAGTAGGCGTTGTACTGGTGCCAGGGCTGAAGAAACTCAAATCTGTGAATAGAGAAGCATTCAGTATGACCCACACGCAGGCTTCAGTGTTTCCCACATGGTCTGCACTGTCATGGACATCTCACAGACACTGGTCATCCCAACAACTTCATAGATTCCACATGGATCGGTCTTGCTCTATCCAGTAACATGTGAGTCGGGCAGAGAGCTACCTGTTCTCCAGGATCGTATCGCAGGTGAAAATGCAGTCCATGTTTTATGGACACAGTCACAGGTAGGGGATAAGGACCCTTGAAAAGTGTGAATTCCAGTCTTTCAAGCACCTACATTTTTACTGCACAATAAAAACAGCAAAACCCCTCTTCATTCAACTCTTAAGTAATTTAATAAGATGTACAAAAATGTCTATCTAAAGATATTCCAGGGAAGATGAAAGAGTAAAGGAATAGTGACAGGGTTTAAAGAATGCTAAACAAAATCATAAATCTCAAAAACCTGACATGCTTAAAGTTTTTTGAGTGTTTTGCAACGTGGGAGCTTGAGCTCAGAAATTCAAACACTGGCACTGAACCACACCCTAGTCCAACCCTCAGACCCTCACCTCACCTTTGATCATTCTTGGCTCGAACACTGGTCTCAAATTTAAGGCCGTTCCTAGCGACGTACTCTGCCAGCTTGTCGATCACAGGCTGGATGTCAGGGGGCGGGGGTATGATGGCCACGGGAGCAAGCGCACTGTGGAGAAGAGCTGGTGAGCAACCCTGACTTCACCGTGGCTTGAGCCTGGCAATGGCAGCAGGAGGGTCCTTTCGGGCTCAGACATGAAAGAAGACTCTTGGTCTAAAGCAGTGGTTCTCGACTTTCCTAATGCTGTGACCCTTTAAAACAGTTCCTCACGTTGTGGCGACCCCAACCATAAAATTGTTTTCGTTGCTACTTCATAATTGTAATTTTGCTACTGTTATAAATCATAGTGTAAATATCTGATATGTGACCTCTGTGAAAAGGTTTTTCGATCCTCAAAGGGTGGAAAACTGCTGGTCTAAAGTCAAGAAGCCTTCTAACTAACCTAACAAAGCCAGCTCCTGAGCACCACTGTCAGTGACAACACGGGAGGCTATGTGTGACACCCTGTAAGCCCAATGCTAGAGCCTGGCCTACACAGCTAGACCCTATCTCCAAAAATGAACTAACAGTTGGAATTTACTAAAGAATGATGTTCAAAGACCCATAAGTAGGTTCAGTCTTCCTCTTAATTAGCATTCCCTTTTAATTACGAGCTACTTCTTAGGAACAAAACAAGGAAAAGTCATTAAAAACAGCTGGCTAGTATGACTCAACCTCCCTCACTCTGTGTTTACTTCTCAGCAGTATGGCTCTAGGTGTCATTTCCCAACTCCTAACAAAGAGGGAAATGGTGCGGGAGAATTGTATTCTGTCAATCATATTTTAATAAAATGCTGATTGGCCAGGCAGGCAGTATAGGCGGGAAAGCCAGACAGGAAGTAGGGGTGGAGCAATGAGAACAGGAGAATTCTGGGAAGCAGGGAAGTTCCTCTGCCATTCCTGTGCAGACCACCGAAGAGACAGCATGTAACCTGCCCAGCTGAAAAAGGTACGGAGCCATATGGCTAACATAGATGAGAATAATGGGTAATATATGTTATAAGAGTTAACAAGAAGCCTGACCTAATAATGAGCCAATCAGTTTATAACCTGATGTAGACTCTGTGTTATTTTCTTTGTTGCTTGCTGGCTGTTGGGGTACTGGGAGGGACAGTAACCCCAACAAGCCTGCCCCTTCATGTTACAAGTGATCTGAGTGATACCCCCAGCCCACAGTTGACAGAAAATTTCTAAGCATTAGAGAGAGGGGCTTTAGTCAAGTTTTTCTGCTGCCTCTATTAGACTTGAGACACACACAGAGGGCCCTCCATGGTGTGCTGAGCACTCCTGTCCTTCTGCCATCGTTGGGTTTTACACGAGATGCCAACTGTGTAACTGGTGGTCTCAAGGAGTGGTCAACAGAGCCCTACCCTCAACAACTATATAAAACCCACAAGCTTGCCAAGTTCAGTCCACCTCACTTGGACCCTGCCTAATACTGCCCTGCTGAGGTATCAACACTCTGAACAAGAGCAGCCCAGATATGGCTGCCCAACAGCCACATTTACACATGGCTAGATTTCACTGCTTAAGAACCACTTTCAGTGCTGAAATAAGGTCTTGCCCTGCGGCGGCTCATTATATAGCTGAAGATGACCTTGAATTCTTGACCTTTGTTTCTACCTCTACAGTGTTAGAATTATAGGGCTGGAATACCTGTAATGAAATATTTAGCTGGTTTTGAACTTCTTTTTTGGGGGGGGGAGGGCAACAGGGACTCATTGTGCTTCTCTGGCTGGCATAGACCTCACTGTATAAATCAGGATGGACTTGAACTCAGAGACCGCCTGACTCTGCCTGGCCATAGCCTTGAACTTTTGGTCCTTCTGCTTCAGCTTTCCAGAAGCTGCGAGCACAGGTGTATGGTACTAATATATGAATAACTATGCTAATTATGGAGCCACATGAAGAAAACTGGTGTGCTGCAGCAGTCACCACGCTGGGCAGGTGGCGCACGTACCTTGTGGTGGTGGTTGTGGAGGTAACCCCACTGCTTGTTTCAGCTGTGGTTGGGGGTGGTGGAGGGGTGGTCCCAGGAGGTGGTGGTACAGTGGTAGTCACACCAGGTGAGCTGGACACGGTCACTCCAGCAGGAAGGGTGCTATAGTAAGTGGTCACATCGATCCCAGGCGGGGGTGGTGCCAGGCAGTAGGTGCCGTCTGGTAGCATGTAGTAGCTGTAGTACATGGCTGCCACAGTTGCTGTAAGAAACATGTTTGTGAGCAAAAGGCCAACGACAGGTGTCACAGTTTGAATCTATAATGTCCCTCATAATCTCATGTTTTAGACACTTGCTCCCCAGCTTATGGTCATTGGAGAAGTTGTGGAACCTTTAGGAGGTAGGCCTGATTGGCTAGAGGTCTGTTATTAGTAGCAGGTTTTTGACAACCATTTCTTGGCTCCTGGCTCTGGCTGACTCCCTGCTTCCTGCTCCACCACAATGTGAACAGCCTCATCTTCAAGCTCCCACATTCCACAGTGAACTAAGACCCTAAGAAACTTTGAGGTAAAACAAATTCCTCCTACTTTACGTTGTTTCCATCAGATATTAGATCACAGCAATGTGACAATTACTGATATAACAGGATAACAAATGACTAGGAAAGAGACTCTGGCCCAGTGCGGCATCAGTTCTGTCCACTCCAGCCACACTGCTTCTGTATCTCTGATGGATTCACACCCTGGAATGAGTGGACAGTAGACAGGCACAAGAACACTCACTGTAGACAATGTGGGTTTTCTCTAAACAAACCCATTTTCTTCCTTTGTGCAGTAATGGAAGGTACAGAAGGCCTCTCAAATGTGGAGTGACACCCCCACCCCCTGCAGGAATAACTGATGGGTGGGCCCTCTTCCCAAGAGGGCTGGCCAGGTAACCTGTGCTCACAGAGCGAGTGGACTCCCTAACTCGCCCCTGTGTGGACACTGACTATGCTTTCTGGAATCTGTTTTTCACTCTACTGTTCCTTTAGAAACTACTGTCTACACATCCTGCATGGAGTACTGCATTCAGCTCAGAAGTCCAAAGTCCAATGCCTCTGCAGCTGCTTCTGACCTTTCCTGTCAGGGGCACGAAGGCAATGGGCAGGCCCTAACAGTGGCATGAGAGCCAGGTTTCTCAATGTCTTAAGCCTATTAACTCATCCTGCACACTGAGCCCCATGGACTTTTGGGTCTTACCACCCCAAAATCACACAGGCCCTGTTGCTTCTGTCTCTGTTACATATGTGAAATATCTCTGCTTGTCTTGAGTCTCCTCTTAGATTTAACTCACTGGCTCCTGTTTTTGGAAATCCTCCCATAGTTCAAGATAGAGGTGGGAACATATAACCTGTGGTAATTCCTTGCAATGCTAAGACTGTGGGCTTGCTATTGTCCCAAGGGTGACATATCTCAGAAACAGTGACAAGTTCTTGGCAGCTCCTGATGCACTCAGCAAGTAGAGCTTAGCTGTGCTGTTCTCAAATAACCCAGTGCTGAAATACCGCCAGTGACTATAGCTCACATTAGCCCATTCCTGCTGGCTCTGTCTCCTTGGCTACACACCCTGAAGCAGTGAAGTCTGTAGCTCAAGCATCCTATAGCCTTGTCACCAGCTGACTCCAGGACACAGGTTCCCATGCAGCTATTATACCAACATCATACCATACTAAGTTAAAAACAAAAGTCACACACACACAAATGCCCCACAAACATACTCACAGACTTTCTGATTTTATAATATAAGTTACAAATCACTACTTGACATTTTATAATCTTACTTTAAAAGCCTTCTGGTAGTCTCTTTCAAAAAACATTAATACTACTACCAATCAAGTATTATGTTTGTATTATCTTTGCAAAAGCTTTGCCTACATTTAAAACCACATAATGATTTAAGGTTTCACATTTTGCAAGATAAAAAGGGTGTCAGAGATTAGGCAAATAACAGTGTAAACTTACTCAACACTACTGGACTAACCATTCAAACACAACCTACAACATTATTCAAAAAAGTCACACATAGAACACAGCAAATCATGAGGTTAAATAAGATGTTATTACAAGAAAAAGAGGGGGCTGGAGAGATGGCTCAATGGATAAGAACATACACTGCTCTTGCAGAGGGTCCAAGTTCTGTTTCCAGCACCCACACTAGTCAGCTCATAACTATCTATACCTCCAGTTCCAGGAAATTCAACCCCTTCTTGTGGCCCTCACATGCACAGCACACATACATGCAGAGAAACTCACACACATGAAAGATCCCCCCCCCCAAAAAACCAGAAACCAATAACAAAAACTTTAAAAGAAAAAAAAAGTGACACCTACAACCCGCGATCTGAGTAGGGGAGCCATGCAACACGGGTGCCTGGCACAGGGAGCTACCTGTGCTCTTCAATGCTAGGCTGCTACCCCCAGAACCGCTCTCCAGAGGCCTCTGCTGTCCTCAGCACTTTATACTGAACTTTCCAAGGGTACTGCTTTTCCCCATCTTGACATGGGGTCTTGCTCTGTTTCCAGGCAGGCCTCTAGGCCTTGGAGTCAAATGAACACCCTGCCTCAGCTTACTGAGACAGGACTACATGAACACAGAACCATGCCTGGCCAGAACTGGGTTTTTAACTGAGTGAAACTGTGATGTGACATTATGCAACTAAATGTATTACATGAGAACTAGAAAAACACACACTAGATGAACTGAGAAACTCCAGCAGGTGCCAAGGCCATCTAGACAGCAACACGAAAGGTGAGCTCATAACATGGAGACACACTCAGGAGCACGTCTCCAGTTCTGCACAAGCTTACATGAGCGACACTCCAAGGCAAGGCTGGTGGAGTCTGCCTAATCATCCTTTACTCTGTTCTTGAACTTGCTGTATTGTGAAGGATGGACACAAACCCCTCACCATCCTGTCCTCACATCCCCAGTGTGGGACTTACAGGTGTGTGTCAGCACACTCAGCTGATACTGTGCTGGACACCTAAGCTAGGGATTTCTGCGTAAGGCAGCCACTCTACCAACAGAGCTACAGCCCAGCCCTATTTAACCATCTTCTAGAGCCATTTAATTCTTGCTGACAGTCTGAGCATAGGTGTGTGGAAGAAAATGCCACAGCTTTCCTGAGACCTTAAGGCACACCTAGGACATTAAAGGAGAGATGTTTAAAAGTTAATAGGTCCTGAGTCCTTCTGAGATGCAGCAGTGACCCACCCTCTGGCTGTCCCTGCTGACACACCCTGAGGTCAGGTGCCAGGCCACTCTGACTTTGTCCTGAGGCTCCGTACCATTCACACAATGTCCTTCAACTTCCTTCCCACCTTCAGCTGGTTGGCAGGTAGCCCTCAGGCTTTTCTAAGGTCAAAGGCTTTGTATTCTAGCCCTCTGCTGATTGCACAATTCCCATCTCCAGCTCTGGGCTGCATCTGTCTGACAACTGTCCACTCAGCACTCTGATCTAGAGAGTTCAGATATGTTCTAAACCAACTGTGTCCAGAACCGCCTTGGCTTTTCATCTAAACCCTTTTAGCCTGCAGTTCTGGACGAGAGAATGCCATGCCTCCAGTCAATTTCCTGAACCTCTTGGTAATACCTGTGCCTGGTGCTCAGACAAGTGTCTCTCTGGGAGGTACTCCCAACAGTCCTTCCTCCCTTCTTCTGGGGCCTCTTGAGAACCACGCCACCTCATCCCAGGTTTCTCTAAGTCTTTGGTCAACCACTGATTGACCTTCCTAAAATCCATAGTTGGAATCAGCTGTTGTGGGAACATCTGCCACTGCAAACAGCAATGAGTCTGCATGGCCGTTTATTAGTGCACACACGTTAACACTCATGAAGGTTTAACTTCCAAATCAGTCACAGTAAGAGAGTGACAGCAGAATTAACAATGAAATGGAACTACTACAGTAATACATGTAATGGAAGTGAACAGGATTATTCTGCAAACGCCCCACTGTGCTGTGCACATCCTTCTTGGGGTAATAAATGAACCAGTATCTATGTGAGGCATTAGGTGACATAAGCACAAGGACACAGCAGTGCCAGACTATTTTAAAAGGGTCATTTGAACATGAACTCCGTGATCTAACAGTTGATGATAATTCCTAAGTAACCAGCAGGAGGATAGCATACACAATTGGCCAAAGGGACGATCAAATCTGGATGGAAAGGACTAAAAAACGTGAGATCTTATCATACAACTTATAACAGTGCACAATTTAAAACTTTTGAATCGCTTAGTTCTGGAATTTTCCACTGAATATTCTCAGACTGTAGATCACATGGAAAGCAAAAACGCAGATGTGGGGCCTGCTGTCTCTTCACTGTTGGCCATCTGTTTTGTTCTCTAGAATGCTAGTGCCAAATGGAAGGACTCCGTCCAGGCATTCCTGAGATAACACTGGCACAGCGCACTGTTCAGTGAATGTACCAGTCGCACAGGAGAGATCAGGGAGTCTTAGCCTAGGCCAAGGGATGGGAAGTGGGAGCACAGAACACCCCAAAATTGGAGGGAAAAAACCACATCCATATCATAATTTGAGGTCCACCCACTATCCAGAAAGAGCAAGAGTCTTAGACATCTAAGGACTAAAATAAGAAATATGCCTCCCTGTGAAGTCTTTTGTGGCAAGTTACTGGAGGGTGTGCCACAGCAAATAAAACAAGAACCCCAAAAAGACTGTATGGAGCTAATCTAGTCAGGTGATGGAGAAGCCACAGGAAAGCCTAGGGCTGTAAGCTGAGAACACAGTCTCAGACTAGAGTGGCAGACTAGGAAACAGCTGCCAACAGCCAACATACAGGTGCACACTGGCTGATGGACCTACTCACCGTCCTCAGCTTCAGTAGCAGTCACTGAGACTTGAGAGATGGCTCAGCGGTTTAGAGCACTGACTGCTCTTCTAGAGGACCCAGGTTCAATTCCCAGTACCTACATGGCCAACTGTCTGTGAGTCTAGTCCCAGGGCATCAGACACCTTTACACAGACATACATACAGGAAAAATACCAATAAATAAAATTTAAAAAAAAAAATCTTGATTGGTGGGTCTCTGAGGGTATTTCCAGGAAGGATTAAATGAGGGGAGAGGACCCCCCTTGACCAAACAGGAAGAAGGGGTCCAGAGGAAAAATCACTGCTGTTGTGTTTGCTTCTTGCTAGTGAGTGCACCCAACTCTCCTGTTACTGCTGCCATCACCCGACTCCCTCTTCTTCAGTCTT